GGACAAAGTCGGAACATCTGGGGGGTACTTTATGGGAGGCCGTTTTTATATTTTATGGAATATATCTGTTATTTATGTAAGAAAATTATTCAAATAAAAGTTACTCCTAATATTATTATCTATAATTTTTGTCTTATTTCAAAATTTCCTGTAATGGTCCGTATTCGAGAAATTTGACAAAATGTTCAAAATTCTGATTTTTATGAAAATTGTTGAACTAAAAGTTGTTTGCGATATCGATCTCTATAATTTTTGTTTATACATGATTTTTCTGAAATGGACCGTAATGGAAAAATTGTAGGAAAAGTGCTAAATTTAAATTTTTCAGTATTTTCGTGTTCAATGAATATCTATAGAAAATGTTTCGAGGTAGATGTATGAGGAAAATGTATATATTTAGTTTATCCTCTAAACATTTATAACGGGGCTGCAATAGGTTGTACAAAATAACCAGAAAAAGCCTATAATAACTAGATAGGAAAGTCATGTGTTGGACACATCAGATTTTGTTTAACTCTTTGAATGCCCACAACTAACGCAGTCGGTCAATTCAGCTTACGTGCCGAGCCTATCAACGACACGTTGTCGGGCAGGAAGAAATTTTTAAACAGCATAGATTAAGGGTATAATTTCTTGTTCATAGTATTTTCTAATAGATCATTCTCTGAGAAGTGACTGATTTTGTATTATTTGATAATAGTGCAATTTGGGGATAATTTTTAAACAATTCGTTTTCATTGCATAGTAAGAGTAGGGGCGGCGCGTAACCAACATTTTGGGGGTTCACAGTAGCAGAATATAGATTCCGGTACAGATATAGGTAAAAAAAAACTGTCAGTGTTTTAGAAAGGTATATTATAAACTTTCTAAAACACTGAAAGTTTTTTCATTCTGTACTGATACCTGTGAACCCCCCCCCCCCCCACGAGCCGCCACTAAGTAAGAGTATGTAGGTTTTTATTTATATTTATTTTGTGATATATTGTTCTAAATTATAACCACAGTTTGACGATTTGTTTTCACAGGAAGTTGCGTTATTATACAGGGTTGCTAAAAAGTCTGACAAGACGTTTCTTTTCAAACGAATTAAGTTGGATATTAGGTATTGCAACGTTACATGACTAGTAAGCTTATTTGTTATTCAGACCACCTAATAGGGGTATAGTGATAAAGAGAAAAATAAATCAGAAGAAAGAAGAAAGAAGAAAAAAGAAAAAAATTCCAAACTCAAATGGAACCAAGGTATAAAATAAATAAAATTAAAAGTCATGTATCACAATAATACGAGCGGCTGTTTCACTCTTGACAAAAACTACTTCTTTGGCTAATACCTCACTAGGGATTGATATTGATATACGTCAAAGGTAGAGAATATTTTCTCAACACTCTACCTTTGATTTTCAGAAGATGAACAGCCAATATATTTACTTGGTAATGCTTGGTTTGATCGGAGACCTAATATTCTAGAAATTCCATTTACCGGAAATTTTTATCTGAAAACAAACATGGTAGAACAAAAACCTTATCGAAATTGTCAATTTGTTTTTCACTACTTGTCTATATGATTTGATTTTGAGGAATACAAACGTATATGCAGTTTAGTTGTTAGGATCAACAAAAATTCAAGAATATATACAAGATAATTAAATTAAATAGAATACTGATTAATGGATGACAACGACCTTATTTAATATTTATATCTTTCAACAAACAATGTCTAGAAACAGGTTTCAACTGATACTTAATACCTAATACTACGGTCGTACAAAAACTTGGCATTTATATTTTACAAGTCCTTCTGTTCAACAACCACACACTTTACAACGCTATCTGCCAAAATAAAATGTCCTTTTATGCTTTCCTTTTGAAAATAATAGAGAATATATTACAAATACCACAGAGACCTCCTAAAACTCATTTTGTGAGAATACTCAAAAATCATTTTACCATCCAATGTGAAATAAAAATTATCGAAATAGACTAAAACGTTGAAGGTGTAACAATTGTTTCTAAATCCACCAGTTGAGTAAGATTCTCAATTTTATTGTCCAACTTGTGATGATCAACCTGGATTTTGTTTTTCGCCATGTTTGGAGGAATATCATCAGCGTAACAATTTATTTTAATAGCTATGTATGTATCAAGAGCAGAAAGTAGCATTTTGGCAGCTGAAAACTGAAAGTTGCCGCGCGACGCGTTAGCGGAGCGCGGCAATCTGTCGAAACTATTCTCTCCTTTGTTGTTTAGTTTAAGGTGGAACTTGATTATTTTTATTTTGTTTATTTTACTATAAGGGTAGTTACAAAAATTTTTAGGGAACATTATTTTGATTTAATTAATATTAATTTACTGACACTATGTTAAATGGGTAAATAACAAACAGGGACATACCACGAGTAGTTTTTAACTTTCTATATTTATTTACGTACAGGGTGATTCTTTTATCATGGGAAATGAGTTTTTCTCGTAAACGGCTGCAGCAAATTGAGTTTTGTGAAAAGTATTTTATTTGGGCCGGCTAATGCTTAAAATTGGGATGGATAAGGAAGTTATAAATAAGCGACGCTGGGCGTCGCGACGCTTCAATTTTTTTTTTTTGTCAGAAGCATACCATTTTTATTTCAGAAATTGAAAGATCTATTCAATAGAAACACTTTTTTCAAATACCATTTTTTTCCATCTAAAACCATTCAAGCATTACAGACCAGTTTTTATGTTTTAAATTTGTCGATTGCCATACAAAAAATGCTGGGTTTTTAAATTTCACTAAATCAGGCAGGCTAACTTTTATGCTGATATTGACAACAAATATAATTTAGGATTTAAAGAAAACAATTTACAAGATGTTCCTACATTTAATAACACTTATGTAATTGTTTAGGAAATAATCAAAGTTTACACTAACAACCCATAAAACATACATAAAACATTAAAGAATAACATGAACTGTATTTAGTAAAAATTAATTGCTAATTCACAAATCTTATTTTAACAATTGCTCGATATATGCGCCATCGTTATCCACACATAAATTGTACCGCTTTCTTATTTCGAAAGATGTAACTTTTCTTAAAACATCACCAGATATTCCATTGCACGCATCAATAATTTTTTGTTTTAAAATATCTAAATTATTAGATTTTGTTTTATACACTATATTTTTTAAAATTCCCCATAAAAAGAAATCTAAGGGTGTCAAGTCCGGAGATCTAGGCGGAAATTTCAAGGGCCCGTGTGTCCCCAACCATCTTCCGTGGTAGACTTCATTCAAATAATTTTGAACAATGACCGCATTGTGGCAAGGAGCTCCATCTAGTTGAAACCATAAGTTTCTTCTGATTTGCAGTGGCACATGTTCAAGCAAAAGAGGAAGGTGATTTTGGAGAAAATCTAAGTATCTTGGGCCCGTCAAGGCGCCTTCATAAAAGTATGGCCCTACTAAGTGCCGCCCGACTATTCCGCACCAGACGTTTATGCCAAAGTGGCCCTGTATTTGATGTTGTCTGATTTTGCGCGGGTTTTCGTCTGACCAATAATGGGTATTTTTTTTGTTTGGTAATCCATGACTAACAAAATGACTTTCGTCTGTCCATAGTATATGAGAAAATAAATTAGGATTGTCATCCAAAGACACCAAAAACTGACAAATAAAATCCTTCCTCCTCTCAAAATCTCTAAGCGAAAGTTCTTGCAAATTATGAAATTTATAGTCATGGTATTTGTTGCTTTTTAAAACTCTTTGTATCACACTATAATTTAAATTTAAGTCTCTTGAAGCCTCTCTTATAGAAGCTTCATGGTGATTGTTAAAATAATTTAAAATAATTGCCACATTTTCATCCGTCGTGACAGTTTTTGTTCTTGATCTTTTACCTGCAAATTTGGCTCATTGAATTTATGGGGATTTATTAAAAAACACAAAACCTACCTTCAAATGCTTTAGGGTTTTGACGTAAACTAGTTTCTAACCTGGCAAACATTTTGTGGTCTGGAAGGTTGCGTTCGGGGTATTTTTCCGCATATAATCTTCTTGCAGCTAAACCATTTTTTTGGGCTTCTCCGTATAAAAGAAGCATGTCAACTTTATCTGAATGTGTAAACATATTTCTTATTACTCACTATTTTAATAGAAATAATTGAAATTACACTGACAGTTTCAGACATCAATCAATATAAGCCAATTATGTTTTTTCAAAGCCTACCTGATTTAGTGAAATTTAAAATACCATGCATTCTTTGTATGGCAATCTAGAAATTTGGAACATAAAAACTGGTCTGTAATGCTTGAATGGTTTTAGATGGAAAAAAATGGTATTTGAAAAAAGTGTTTCTATTGAATAGATCTTTCAATTTCTGAAATAAAAATGGTATGCTTCTGACAAAAAAAAAAAATGAAGCGTCGCGACGCCCAGCGTCGCTTATTTATAACTTCCTTATCCATCCCAATTTTAAGCATTAGCCGGCCCAAATAAAATACTTTTCACAAAACTCAATTTGCTGCAGCCGTTTACGAGAAAAACTCATTTCCCATGATAAAAGAATCACCCTGTACACTATTAAATAAATTGTTAAATGTATTTTCATTTTTTGATAAATAAATATTATTATTATTATTATTATTATTATTATAAATACAATAGGCCATTGGGCTTCAGTGTTAACAGAGACTGTCACGAGCCTAGGTAAAAAACGAGTGTATGCAATAGAATGAAATCTGGCTCGTAAGTTTAAAAAGAAAAATTCCGAATAACTGGGCAATTATCAACTTTAACACCCCGTATGTCGAAAACTAGTCATAGGATTGAGTTGGACCCTTTAACATTTTTGGTTATTGGGTTGAGTACAACAACTTACCTAAGTTTCAGAAAATTTGATTGATAGCCACTATACAAAAGTGCAGGGTCCTTCCATCAAAGCACATTTCTCCATAATCGGCTATTGTCAGTAAAAGATATATTAAAATAGAACATATTGAGTAGATTAATTTTGACGAAACTTACTTTTGACAATACTCTAAGTTCATGTTAGTTACTTTCTGTAAGACTTCTTCTAATTGTTTGTATTGTTCATAAAAATATGGCAACGGTGCTTCAGCAAGAGTAACATCTGAGGGAAATATGAAGCTCCATCCAGTTTGATAATCCAATGCGTTGCTAACGTGCAACTGTTCATTTGTGATTAAAAATTGTTGTCCAATGCGTTTAAAGAAAAAACTTCTATTGAATGTTAATATTTGATTAAATTCTTTAAAAATTCCAGAAATCACTAGTACTGCTTTAATAGTCTGTAATACGATAATTATTTAATTAACAAAATTAGATTGTAATTTTAAATAGGAAAACTTACGTTATATATAGTGACGTCACACACAATTGGATATGGATCATGATAAGTTTTTGGAAATTCTTGAAAAAGTTTCATAATATCTTCCATTCCACAAACAGAATAAGGCTTATCAAGACCATAATGATTTATACTAAAACAATATAATTAACATTAACTCAATGGTAACCAAACGCCCGTTTTTTACTAAAGTTAATTTTCAGAAAAAAGTGGCTTTTGTTTAATCGTGCAAACATTTTTTTTTGTTGTCTCACTCCCTTTGATATTTACATCAAGGAGGTTGCTCTGACGACAATGACACGCCTCGGCACGGATGGAATAGAACCTGATGTAGGATCTGGTGAGGCGAGACGTCACTTTTGGCAGGAGGCGCTCGATACGCTTCCACTGCTTCAAGCGAACATGGACTCCATCTCACCGAGATATATCTTCCATAAGCCATATAAAGTTATAATAGGACAAAGAGAAGAGCCAGAAATGGCAGGTACAATTCATATCTACACCGACGGTTCTAAAAACAAAACAAGGCTCAGGATGCGGAATATACTCCAGATTCTTAAACCTAAACATAAACTGGGCTGAGCAATAGTGCCAGTGTAGTTCAATCAGAGCTAACGGGATTCTCATAGCAGCAAAAGAAATAACCAGAAACAATATCACTGGAAGGAACATGCTTATCTATACAGATAGCAGACAAGCACTACTCACCCTGAACAGACCACGAATTTATTCAGGGTTAGTACTAGAATGTCACGAAGCTTTGGCCGAAGTATCCATCAACAATGTGGTCACCTTAAGATGGATCAAAGGTCACGCCACATCGAAAGGTAACCGTCTTGCTGATTCACTAGCCAAGAAAGCAGCCAACCAAATACTTTTTGGACCTAGCCCTTCTATTGGCCTGACAAAATCGGTAGTGACAGACCTAATTAAAGAACATTCTCTTGTGAAATTCAAGGAAAGATGGGATGAAACAAGAAACTGCAGAGTTGCCAGGGAGCTCTTAAGTTATCCTGACAACACCCCAGCAAACAAATACTTGACTATGACTAGACAGAATCTGCGCCTAGTCACAGGCATTCTGACTGATCATTGCCAAGTACGGAAGCATCTCCATATCATGGGGCTGTCAGAATCCGCACTCTGCAGAGGGAGCGAACAAGAAAATGAGACCATCGAGCATATCATTTACGATTGCTCGACGCTCTCATTTATTAGAAGATTTGTGTTCGGCGAGTATCGGCTAACACCGGCCGATATAAGAGAAGCACCTCTTGGCGACGTTGTCAACTACATTAAATATGTAGGCTGGCTCACGAGCTAGGAGGTGCCTATCATCTTAGGAGGATGCACAATGTGCCTAATAAGGCCTAAGTGCCGTGGGGGGTAACCCACCCTCCACACGTTACAGATACAGATAGGGAGATACTAAAACAAATCTTTAGGAAATCCATAATTAAACGATCTATCTTATTAACAGTATAAGATTCCGACTTAAATCGACCTTCTCTCATCCTTTTTCATAATTAAATAATATATTAATGATAAGACGAAAGAAAAAGAGAAAAACCCAAAGAGCGTGTCGGGCAACCGTTCCCCCCCCCCCCCTGAAAATAAATGCTCATTTGGCTAATGCCGCAACAGGCATTACATTATATTAAAATGAAAATAGCAGAGATAGAAAATCATTTTCAACGCTCTAACTCTGTTTGCTTCTTAAAGATAACGTCATTTTTGGTACTGGTTTTAACATTTCAACCCCCCTTAAACCATTTTTGTTAAGATTTTTTTTTTTTTTTTCAGAATCAATAAGCTTGATATCCTTATAGAGCTTGAGTATTACAAAAAATTTCATGTTGATATCGCTTTTTGTTTTTGAATTATGATTTTCTTTGTATTTCAGATCTTCCTTAAGGTGATTACAGCACCTCTTATAATTTTCGGACAAGGATATCTCATAAAGTAATTATCTTAAAAAAATAAAATTTTGGCAAAATAAATTAGGCAGTAATATCTAGAATATGCATAGATTTTAAAGGTGTAAATCCTTCCAGTTTCCGAGAAAAATAAAATAAAATGGCTTTAAATTTTGAAATATAACGAAAATAAATGTATTTCTCAACAGCATTATTCTTAATATAAACTCCAAATTTAAACTTTTAATATCTTCTTAATGATTTTTTAAAATTCACCAAAATTAGTGGCTAAAACGCCTCGTTAAGTGCTATCTTCTGTTGTAAACTGGTGTAAATTATTACAAGAAACGAATGATGACTGAGAGTGTACGATACGATAGTTACAGGCGTGTTACACCAGAAGGCAGCACTTAACGAGGCGTTTCAGCCACTAATTTTGGCGAATTTAAAAAAATCATTAACAAGATATTAAGAACTCAAATTTCGGGATTATATTAAGAATAGTGCTGTTGAGGAATTCATTTATTTTCATTATATTTCCAAATTTAAAGCTCTTTGATTTTTTTTTCTCGGAAACTAAAAGTAATTATAACATTTTGTGTGTTTAAAAGTACAGATCATACATTTCTTTAGTTTCAAGATTGTTCCCTGATGATTTGACATAAAATAATAAAAATTGAACTGTCGCAGCATATATTCTTTAAAAAATATTAATTAATAAGGACTGACCCACAAAAAATGTTTCTAAATAAGTAGAATTTCTAAAAATTCACGTATGTCGAGCATACAATTTTTCTTTTTAAGTATCAGTTTGGATTTTATTCAAAGTCGCGCGTAGTTGTTACGAACATGACTCCTAACTCTGTCTTTGTCACGGCCCACTATAGAAACATTTTTTTTTTGTGGATCACTCTTTATTATAAAGTGAGTTTTGGGCACTGTATATCATAATATTAAAAATTAATTTAAAAAAATGTACTTACTTAACTGTTTCAGAATTTTTTTGCTTAGGAATAATTTTAGCATTTACTGAGAACATAGCCGATGGATCATATACTTTATTTAAATCCACTCTATTAGATGAATCATAAATTTTAAAATAGTATTCAACAAATTGAGCTGCAAACTCCTCAGCTTCTGCAGTGACCATGAAATTTTTTCTAAATTGCGGCGTAGTAAGATCGATACCATCCTACAACAAATAATGTAATTGGAAAATGAAAAACTAAATTAAGTATCTATAATTTTTAATGCTACAATTATAAAAACAGAGGAGCTGGTCCAAATATGTAATATAGGCACATATATGACAGCCAAACAGCGCCTGTAATGAGTTAATCGTAGACCAAGGCCAGGCTATACTCTCTGCTGCCTTTCCTTTGGATATAATTCAATATATGTTGCGGTATTAGCCAAAGGAGTAGTTGTTTTTTCTAAGGGTAACGGTCATTCGTATTTTGTGTTTATTTATTTTATACAACACACACACAACACAAACACACACAAACAAACTCACATTCACAAACACACAAACAAACTCACATACACAAACACACACACAAACACACACACACACACAAACAAACACACACACACACACACACACACACACACACACACACACACACACACACACACACACACACACACACACACACACACACACACACACACACACACACACACACACACACACACACACACACACACACACACACACACACACACACACACACACACACACACACACACACACACACACACACACACACACACACACACACACACACACACACACACACACACACACACACACACACACACACACACACACACACACACACACACACACACACACACACACACACACACACACACACACACACACACACACACACACACACACACACACACACACACACACACACACACACACACACACACACACACACACACACACACACACACACACACACACACACACACACACACACACACACACACACACACACACACACACACACACACACACACACACACACACACACACACACACACACACACACACACACACACACACACACACACACACACACACACACACACACACACACACACACACACACACACACACACACACACACACACACACACACACACACACACACACACACACACACACACACACACACACACACACACACACACACACACACACACACACACACACACACAAACAAACAAACACACACACACACAAACACACACACACACAAACAAACACACACACACACACACACACAAACACACACACACACAAACACAAACACACACAAAAATAACGTATGTAACATAAGTTTTAAGACAAAAAACAAATTAATACTATTCAAATTTTCAACTTTACTTACACTACGTAAACAGTTAACGATTAACATAATTTCTAAACAATAGAAATATATTATAATGCGGCTGGCGGCCCATGGTCTTCAATCCGCCGTATTTTTGTTGACAAGTGTCTCATAAGTGATTGGATAGTAGCAACATTGATTTCCCGAATGTTTTGGTAAATTCTCCTTCTTAATTGTTTTTCATTTTCTTCTTCCAAACCATTATCATATTATTGGCTTCTAACCAATCTTTAGATTGTCTGACATAGTGACAAGGTGCTAGATCAGGCCAGAACATGATTTCATTATAAATGTAATGTTCATGTATAAATCGTAGTAATTTAGGCAAACATCTTGGTATATAAAGTCCTGCAGTGATGGCTTCTCCTCTAACATATCCTACATATGGTCGCGAAGCACCTGCCAGAGAAATGACGCACCACACCAGAATTTTATCTTCAAATTTGGCTTTTCTTTTAAATTTCACATTATCCGGAACTGCATTGAAATCCTCAGTATAGAATCCATCATTCCCCTTTATCTCAGAGTTAGATAATGTAAAATATTTTTCATCGGTTGTTTGCAAGTATTGAAGCCTTAGTGCTCGACAACACCGTGGAATTCTTTGCAACTGCGCAGCAACATTTTTTCTTTTTCTAAATGACATTCCACTTCTCTTAATTTCTCGATATGCAGTCATGTGTGAAACTCCATAGCGCCTTCCCAATCTTCGTGTAGATGCACCAATATTTTCTTTTGCACTTTCTCTCAGTCTATCTGCTTTAACATCAGTCAAAATCCGAGGTCGTCCGTTTTTTGGTAGGTTTAAACAAGGTATTCCTTTCTCGCATTCTTTTATTGTTCGGTAAATAGTTGCACGGGAGATATTATATCCTAGAAATATGTTTATAATATCAGCATTTTGCATTCGGCCAACTAAATTATAGATGCTTTTTCGGATTTCGATTTTATACGACATGTCAAAAAAGTCAATATTTATGATAACAAGGCCTACTTGAATACCTACTTTTCGAAGTGATAAAAATTAGTTACGAAATTTGTCTCAAAAATTATGTTACATACGTTAAACTCAAACACATAGACAAACAAACACCACACGCACGCACCCGCTCACATGCACGCGCGCGCGCGCGCGCGCACACACACACACTCACCAAAATGAAAATGGTAGCGCCGATTAAAATTTATGTATTTTAAATAAATAATAATACCTATAATAAAAATTTCAAGTTTTTTTTACTTCGACAGGCAGTAAAATTAGGCGCGCATTTAATATAAATTACAACATTATTATATTCCCTAATAAACGAAATGCCAGAAAATTCATATATCTATAAGTGAGTTTGAAACTAAAATTAATTCATATTATTATTATTAATATATTATATATTCCTATTTCTGAATTGTTTTTAATTATTTAACATGAATCACGGATTTGTGAAAGCAGATTTAAAAACTTTCACAAACGTTAAATAAGACTTGAAAGTTAGAACAAAAATACAAACAACTGAAGTAATTTACGCATTACTAGAAGAAAACAAAAATTATTTAAAAATATTTGGCACCATTGGGCGGAAAATTTCATCAAAAATGGTTTTTCAATCCCAATTTTCTTCTAAATCTAAATCAATGTGTTCTTGTCAAAATAAACATCATTATTAATTGTTTTGACGTAAATAAGATTGAAAATTCCGATGATGTTGTTGTTATAGAACCCGATTCTTATACAGGGTGGGCCACTTAAAAGTTCCACCCCCCTTTATCATCGTTATTTATTGAGATATCGAAATAATTTTTTTTTTTGTTGGAAAGACTGGAACAAATACTTTCTTATAATTAAATCAATTATTCTGTGACGTCATGGCTTACTTCCGGTTTTTCCGGAAATAACAGAAAATCGCAATTTATTTTTTATTTTTAAATTGAAACCCACTTTTTTTAATCTAAATTTGAATTTCTGGGACATTTTTGTATAATAATCGTGTATTAAAAAGTTTCTGGCAGCTGTCAAAATAGCCGCCATATTGGATAAAATTGTTTCTAAGCAAGTTACTATTAATTCGTTTATGGAAAAAAATATAGAAATGAATGATCTTTATAAAATCTGTGTAAGCTTCAAATTTATCATTGAGACCCATTTACCGTATACCAGTGGCGTATCTAAGCATTTTTATTATCAGCAAACCGTTTAATAATTCCATCAGATTTTATCTTCGTTGTTGAGATATCGGAATGAAAAATTTTTTGTTTAAAAGCTTATAACAGATACTTTTATTTAATGGATCCAATTGATCTATGACGCCATGGCTTACTTCCGATTTTCCCGGATATAACTAAAAATCGCAATTTATTTATAATTTTAAAATGAAAACCCGTTTTTAATTGAAAATTTGAATTTCTGGGACGTTTTCCTACAAGAAGTGTGTGTTGAAATTTTTCTGTCTGCTGTCAAAATGACCGTCATAAAGGTTAATATTTTTTTTAATATGTTATTGTAAATTCGTTTATGGAAAAAATATGGGAATGTATAAAATCTTTGTGAGCTACACAGTTCTTATTAAGGCCCATTTACAGTATACCAGTGGCGTATCTAAGATTTTTGTTATTAGCAAACCGTTTAATAATTCAACCCGCTCTTATCTTCCTTATTAATTGAGATATCGGAATGAAAATTTTTTTGTTTGAAAGCTTGGAATAAATATTGTCAAATAATTGATTTAACTGGTCTGTGATGTCATGGCTTATTTCCGGTTTTTCGAAAATAACAGTAAATCGCAATTAGTTTTTAATTTTTAAATGGAAACCCACTTTTTTATTAAAAATTTATATTTCTTAAGTATATCTGTCATCGAACTGAATTCATACGATTTCAGCGCTTGTAACCACTTCATCAGTCAACTACCTACTGATAAAAAATAAAATAACAAAAAATAGTTATTTATGCTTATAATAAGTGTATAAAGTGGCCTTCAAAAAAGGCCTTTACACACGAATTGCATACGATATTTCTACTACCGTACATATTGCCCATTAAGATTAAAAATAAAAAAGGTTACTTTACGCACTAACGCGTAAAGAAAGTTTGAAATAAAATGTCATTTGTCATGTCAAAATACTAAAAATTGTGTCTTGTTGACGCACTAGTGCGTAAAAAGTTTTACTATACGCACTAGTAAAAAAAGTGAAACTTTATGCACTCCGTAGTGCGCATAATGTACGTACTTTAACGCTCAGTAGCGGAAAAATAAATTAATACGACACACAACAGATCTTTAAATTTAAAAAATGTTTATTTTTATTTTAAATTTTAAAGTAACTTAATTTCATTAGAAAGATTTAAGGAATCAATATAATAAAACAATGCCCACCATACAATAATAAACATTGATAAGTTCAAGAAATTTAAGTTTTCAATAAAAAAGTAGGTTTCCATTTAAAAATAAATTGCGATTTACTGTTATTTTTGAAAAAGCGGAAGTAAGCCATGATGTCACAGATCAGTTGAAGTATTCGACATTATTTATTCCAAGCTTTCAAACAAAAAAGTAGTCATTCCCCATTTCTCAATTAATAAAGAATATAAAAGCGGGTGAAATTATTAAACGGTTTGCAATAACAAAAATCTTAGATACGCCACTGGTACAATGTAAATGGGTCTTAATGGGAATTTTGTAGCTCACAAAAATGTTATACATGCCCATATTTTTTCCATAAACGAATTAACAGTAACATATTAAAAAATATATTATCCAATATGACGGTCATTTTGACAGCTGACAGAAAATTTTCAACACTCGTCATAGACCAATTGAATCCAGTATATGATAGTATTTGTTCTAAGCTTTTAAACAAAAAAGTTTTTGTTCCAATATTTCAATTTACAACGAAGATAAAAGCGGATGGAATTATTAAACGGTTTGCTAATAATAAAAATGCTTAGATACGCCACTGGTGTACTGTAAGTGGGTCTTAATTGGAATTTTAAAGCTTACAATGATTTTATAAAGATCGTACATTCCCATATTTTTTTCCATAAACAAATTAATAGTAACATGTTTTAGAATAAATATTATCCAATAGGGCGGCCATTTTCACAGCTGACAGTAAAATTTTAATATACGCTTTTTGTACAATATTGTCCCAGTAATTCAAATTTTCAACAAAAAAGAGGTTTGGATTTTAAATTAAAAAATAAATTGCGATTTTAAGTTATACCCGGAAAAATCCAAAGTAAGCCATGACGTCACAGACCAATAGGATCCAGTATATGAAAGTATCTGTTATAAGCTTTTAAACAAAAAAGTTTTCATTCCGATATCTCAATTAACAACGAAGATAAAAGCAGATGGAATTATTAAACGGTTTGCTAATATTAAAAATGCTTAGATACGCCACTGGTATACGGTAAATGGGTCTCAATGGGAATTTTGAAGATAACAAAGATTTTATGAAGATCATACATTCCTATATTTTTTTTCATAAGCGAATTAATAGTAACACGTTTAGAACAAATATTATCCAATATGGCGGCCATTTTGAAAGCTGTCAGAAAATTTTCAATACACGATTATTATACAAAAATGTCCCAGAAATCCAAATTTACAATAAAAAAAGTGGGTTTCAATTTAAAAATAAAAAATAAATTACGATTTTCTGTTATTTCCGGAAAAACCGTAAGTAAGCCATGACGTCACAGAATAATTGAATCCATCGTAAGAAAGTATTTGTTCTAGTCTTTCAAACAAGAAAAACATTATTTCGATATCTCAATGAATAACGAAGATAAGGGAGGGTGGAACTTTTAAGTGGCCCACCCTGTATATCTCATAGAAACCGAGATAACAGCACTGGCCATTGTAGTCTATTTCATTATGGAGCGAAGGCTTATTTCAAGCTTTCTGATTGGAAAAATGCACCCTTTTGAGTTAAATATTAAAAATTTTTTAAAAGAAATTAAATTTGGCAGTCAATTATGAGATGGGCTAATAATTTATCAGCGCAATTGCCTTATGTCAGTACAATTGAAGACTCAAGTGGATAAAGGTGTCATGTCACATTTTTTCAGAATGGCCTAATATACTTAAGATAAACAATGTTTTTTTTGTTTGTGATAGTTCTGAGTTCAAATTTTGATAAATATTCATATTCATCAGATAGGAAAGTATCATGAGCCATATATCATAATGCAATTGTAATTCTTTAAACTTTTTTTTCTCAAAGTATTCTTTTTGTGACATGACACTTTTAACCACTCGAGTCTTCAATTTTTAGTTTATCTTGAAAAAAAACATGAAATTCCCATATCAGTACCAGTTAGTTCCTGTCATAATTTTTTCTATCTTTCAAATTTTCTAAAGGTCTCTTCAATTAATATAAAAAGGTTAGTAGAAATGCATAGAAATAAAGTTTTGAAGTGTGAATAATAATATTAAAAAAATAATAAAAATAGAGCTAAGTGACCATGCATAAATAATCCAATCAGATTGAAAGGTTATCAATATTTATTTTTAGAAATCATAGTAAAACTTATTTTACTATATTTTTATTTCTGAAATTTACACATATATTATTATAGTTGTTATTCCACTATTAATAATACGTATTTTAGGAGTATATAATTTTCATTTACTTACCAACTTTTTCAAATTTGGGCACAACTTCTTAACATCTAGCACATAATTGTAAGAATAAGGGCCATATTCTTCACACAATGGATTACCAGTTAAACTTAGTTCTGTTAAGTTTGAAAATTCTCCCAATACTTGTATTGAATTTAAACGTTTTAGCTGAAAGTTTCATATTAAGTAAATTTGGAGAACTGAACATAAAATCTTGTAGACTGAGAGCTAGCGGCCACTAGGTGGTACGGTCGTACGTCCGGCACTAATTTTGTGAAGTGGTTGAAGGGGCCATTGGGAAGTGTGTAATTTGCATGGATTTAGTTTAAAATCCCTACAAACGAGATGTCAGACAACTTAAAGTTGTAATTTTTTGTTGAAATTTACAATACACAAAATATTTGATTAGATAAATCTTATGTTTTAGAACACTTACTGATATTTTGGTTTTCTTACATTATTTTACTTTCTGATTTGCCTGCGAATCGAATTAAGTTTAGTCGCAGTAAATATTTTTTTAAATATTTTTCGGGGAACATAAGGAATATATTCACACAATATTTATTTTTATTGCCCCGTTAATTTTTATTAATTTATGGGAAAATAAATTTAAATTAGGTCAAGGGGAGTTGTTTAAATACATTAAATCAAGCATTTTGATTATTGTACACCAGCACTGGTTTTTGCTAATATGAGTATTAGTTTATTATTATTTTTCTTATATTTTATTATTTATAGTACACCGATTTACATATTAAAAGATTTAGTACAGATTATTTATTAAAAATGCTACGATTTTTATGTTGTAAAACATTTTAGAAATTAAGGACTCTTCTCCAATATTCCGATTTTAATATACTATGAATTTTAATATTATTGTACCGACCAATTAGTCTGACATCGTTTTCCATGAAGACATTGGAAAGACTAAGCGAAAGGTACATAAGGGATGCGGTGATTACAACAACACCACTACACCCAAACCAACATGCATACACCCCAGGCAGATCTACTGATTCAGCCCTTTATCTAGTAGCTGGCCGGATAGAAAGATCCCTGGACAATAAGGAGTCCCCCTTGGGTGTTTTCATAGACATAGAAGGTGCTTTTGATAAAACCACCTTCCCAAAGATAATACACTCACTAACCAACAGGAATGTTCCACAAATGGTTAGTGGTTGGATACATAACATACTCTTAAAGCGAGCAGTAAACATAAGTGTAGAAGATGTGAATATAAGAGGCTTGATTGCGAGGGGATGTCCACAGGGAGGGGTGCTATCACCTCTACTGTGGAATATGGTCCTCGACACCCTCATCAGCCGCCTCAATAATGACAGTCACTACACAATCGCATATGCAGATGACCTGGTCATTCTGCAAACAGGGAATTTTGAGAACATACTCTGCGAAAGAATGCAAGTAGCTCTAAAAATTATAGAACAGTGGTGCAAGGACCATTCACTGTCTATCAATCCTAAGAAGACAGAAATGGTCCTTTTCACAAGGAAAAGGATGAACATGGAATTAAAACCTCCAGAACTCCTAAACACAAAACTAAACTTTTCGACAGAGGTGAAGTACCTAGGTCTCACCTTTGACAGCAAGTTAACATGGAACTCGCATTTAGAAAACAAGAGTTAAAAGAGCATACATTGCTTATGAACAATGCCGCCATAATGTGGGACGCACCTGGGGTTTCTCCCCCTGAGTCGTCGCATGGACTTACTCGGCTATCATAAGACCTATGCTAACATACGGTGCAGTTGTTTGGGTACCGAAAACCCAAAAATTAACAGCTATCCGTTAACTAAAACAAATTCAAAGAACAGCATGTCACAACATAACAGGAGCCATGAAAACAACACCAACCAGAGCGATGGAAGTCATTCTTAGTCTCACTCCCCTTGATATTTACATCAAGGAGGTTGCTCTGACGACAATGACACGCCTCGGCACGGTTGGAATAGAACCTGATGTAGGATCTGGTGAGTCGAGACGTCACTTTTGGCAGGAGGGGCTCGATACGCTTCCACTGCTTCAAGCGAACATGGACTCCATCTCACCGAGATATATCTTCCATAAGCCATATAAAGTTATAATAGGACAAATAGAAGAGCCATAAGTGGCAGGTACGATTCATATCTACACCGACGGTTCTAAAACAAAACAAGGCTCAGGATGCGGAATATACTCCAGATTCTTAAACCTAAACATAAAATGGGCTGTGAGAAATAGTGCCAGTGTAGTTCAAACAGAGCTAACAGGGATTCTCGTAGCAGCAAAAGAAATAACCAGAAATAATATCACTGGAAGGAACATGCTCATCTATACAGATAGCAGACAAGCAATACTTACCCTGAACAGACCACAAATTTATTCAGGGTTAGTACTAGAATGTCATGAAGCTTTGGCCGAAGTATCCATCAACAATGTGGTCCTTAAGATGGATCAAAGGTCACGCCACATCGAAAGGTAGCCGTCTTGCCGATTCACTAGCCAAGAAAGCAGCCAACCAAATACTTTTTGGACCTGGCCCTTCTATTTGCCTGACAAAATCGGTAGTGACAGACCTAATGAAAGAACATTCCCTTGTGAAATTCAAGGAAAGATGGGATGAAACAAGAAACTGCAGAGTTGCCAGGGAGCTCTTAAGTTATCCTGACAACACTGCAGCAAACAAATACTTGACTATGACTAGACAGAATCTGCGTCTGGTCACAGGCATTCTGACTGGTCATTGCCAAGTACGGAAGCATCTCCATATCATGGGGCTGTCAGAATCCACACTCCGAACAAGAAGATGAGACCATCGAGCATATCCATTACGATTGCCCGACGCTCTCATTTATTAGAATATTTGTGTTCGGCGACTATCGGCTAACACCGGCCGATATAAGAGAAGCACCTCTTGGCGACGTTGTCAACTACATTAAATCTGTAGGCTGGCTCACGAGCTAGGAGGTGCCTATCATCTTAGGAGGATGCACAATGGGTCTAATGAGGCCTAAGTGCCATGGGGGTAACCCACCCTCCACACGTTACAGATATAGAATGGTATAACTTTAAATAGTAAGTACTTAAAATTGATATTAAGAGCTCAAACTTTTTTTCTCTATGTAAATTAATATTTTGCTTGAGCATCAAAAAAAAAACTTTGCCCTACTGCCTACCCTTTTTTAATGATTTTTATTTCTTAACTTTACTTAACTGGTTTAAATTCTTCTAAAACTATTCTATCGGGTGCGTTTTTAATTAGCATCGTTTTTAATTAATTAAGATATGATCGTTATATGGCGACCTATTGGCGTGAATTATGAAATCCGATCCTAAATCGCGTTTCAAACCGGCTAACTCTTGGTTGTATGGGGTCCGTATTTAATTAGGATCGTTTTTAATTAATTAGATAGGGTCTTTAATAGGCGTTAATTGGCATTAATTATGAAATCCGATCCTAAATCGCGTTTCGAACTAACTAATCTATTTACTGCCCTGAACCTGTGAAACCTATTAAAAAGAGAGGCCGACCATGAAAACTTACAGAACCACTACCCCATGTAACGCTCGAAGTATCTCCCTTAGGCACCCAGTTACCGGGAATAACTGGTTTATCGTCCAGAACCAAACCAAATGGGAAGAATATAACAGCGCGCCCTGAAGTGTTAATTAATAATAATAATTAGGTTTGTTCCAACAATCTTAGATAAAAGAGACCGGAGATGTAACATTGCACATCGCACACGTTGTCTATTCCAACCCTAAGTAACCCACCAATTAAAAATCATTGTGTTCACGACGCCACCCGAATTGCTCCGAAATTTCTATTCTATGCTTGTCTCCGCGTGAGTAAATCATTTATGGACCGCCGTTTTTGAATTATTTGTTGGTGTTATTAGCAATTTAAAGTGTTTTAATTATTCAATTTCAAGTTAAAAATGCCACGATGTATGGTGAAAAATTGTATATATAAATAATATAAGTGTCAATGTTATGAAAAATAAGAAATTTAATATTCGTTTTCAGAGGTAAATATTTGTTGACGTTTTGACATAAAGTCACCATGATTCTTTGAGCTGAATACTTCAGATCCGCATTAAGGGGTTTCAATAAATATTAAGCATCAAATACATAATAGCTTCGTTCGCGGTAACAATCCTGAACTGATTTAGAATTACTAATTCATACTGTGAGCGCATGCTCGAATCATTATCAATTCTGAATTTTTACCGCGCGCGCAATCCCTATTATATCTCGGTATTTCAGGTATAGACAAGCGGTCCAAACCCAATAATTATTTTACCGCGAACGCAGAATAGAACCAATAGTTCAGTTCTTTTTGTTCCGCGAACGCTTTTTAGTTACTGCGCCTGCTAAATCGTTACTGTTAGTAATAATTCGGTTCAGGATTGTTACCGCGAACAAAGCTAATATTTCAGAAAATAGATTTCATAATGCATTAATTTACAAAAGAGTAAAATTTTAAACATTTTATCTAAATAAGAAGTAAATAGGCATTGTTACTAACGAAATTTTGTTTTTAAAAAGTAGTTTTATAAGAATATTTACTAAAGGTGGTTTTTAGCCCTTTGTTAGGTATTTTTACAAGAATATTAGATGAAATACAGGTTCACTTACTTAAAATTTCAAGGTTCATTTTATTTGCGGTTAAATCGGAAGTGAAATTTGAATCTTAAGTTTTAAAACAAAGTAAAACGCGCTATATGATCTAGTATAGGCAAAAAAATACTAAAGTTACGAAAATTAGTCATATTATTAGTAAAATGTTACATTATAAACCCCTAAACAACTCGAAAAAAATCTTAGTTTACTAAAAAAATCCAAATTCTAGCAATATTTATTATACAATCGAATGCGGTTTCAAAGATACCAGGATCAATAAATCAGAATCTCTAAATGTAGGAGCTAAATGCTCGGATAAAAGCATGCGACCGAGGAGTTACAAAAATAATCGATGTTTCGTTTTCATGAAAATCGATTTATTTGTTATAATTATTCGATTATTTTTGATTAATCGAACATTTTCTAAAATTGTTTTCGTTTTTTTAGGTAATGGAATAATCGATTATAAAGGAATTACAAAAAGAAAGTAGATTTATTCAAAATATTCGATTTATTGAAAATAATCGATTTTTCAAGAAAAATCGATTTATTGTTTAATAGACTTTTTAAATTAATCGAAAATGATCGATTAATCGATTATTTTAGATTTTTCAAAGGTATTCGAATAATTTGTTTTAAAATACAAAAAACAGATTATATAAAAATAATTGATTGAATATAATCGGTTATATTATATAATCGATATTTAGGTTATTTTTTAGAATTATAGATTTATCGGTAAATCAGCTTTTTATTAATCGATTATTTTCGATTTTTCAAAGAAAATTAAATAATTAATTTTAAAAAGAATATGAAAAAGAAAAGGATTATTTGTAAATAATCAATTATTCAGTTATTTATTTTTTTTTTTTGGAAAATCGATTTATCGTAGAATCGGCTTCTTAATTAATTGGTTATTTTCGCTTAATCGGTTATTTTCGATTAACCGAATATTTTCGATTAATCGATTATTTTCAATTTTTTAAAGGTATTCGAATGATTTGTTTTAAAAGAAATGCGAAAAAATAGATTATATGAAAATAATCGATTTATCGAATATAATCGGTTATTTTTTATAATAGATATTTCGGTTATTTTTTAGAATTATCGATTTATCAGTCAATCAGCTTTTTATTAATCGATTATTTTCGATTTTTCAAAGATAATCTAATAATCAATTTTAAATGAAATATGAAAACAAAAGGATTATTTGAAAATATTCGATAATTCAGTTATTTTTTTGGAAAATCGATTTATCGTAGAATCGGCTTCTTAATTAATTGGTTATTTTCCCTTAATCGATTATTTTCGATGTTTCAAAAATGATCGAATAATTGATTTTAAAGGAAATATATATTTTTTTTTTTTTGAAAATCGATTTATCAATTATTCAACTTTTTAATTAATCGATTATTTTCGATGTTTCAAAAATGATCGAATAATTGATTTTAAAGGAAATATTTTTTTTTTTTTGAAAATCGATTTATCAATTATTCAACTTTTTAATTAATCGATTATTTCTGATTAATCGATTAATTTAGATATTTCAAAGATTATCGAATAATCTGTTTCAATGGAAATACGAAAAAAAAATATATAAAAATAATCGATTATTTAAAATAAACGATAATTCGTTTATTATTTTTTGTAAACACTGATTTATTGGTAATTGGCTTTTTAATTAATCTATTATTTTTGATTTTTTAAAGATAATCAAGTAGTCGATTTTAAAGGAAATACGAACAAAAATAGATTGTTTGAAAATAATCGATTGATCGAAAATAATCGATTATTATTAATGATCAATAATTAATTTCGATAATCACCCACTCCTAGCGACCAAATGACTTTTAATAGGTTTAAATTTTAAAATGTTATCTGGTTTCAGACATGCATTTCTAGAGTTTTATGTGACTCATCCTCTATATTAATTATTATTCCTTATGTTCCTAAAGAAACTAGCTTTAATATATCTTTTTCTGAGGTTATAATACAAAACAGCAGTCTCTCATTTTGACTATTTTTTAATATTATGTGATAGTCGTAGAAAAAATATAATGTTCAACTCACAAGGTTTGATTTGCAGTATTCGCCTGCGCACATGCTTTTTTTATAATACTCTTAGACAATGAGTACCATTTCTTACTCGATTAACAATATTCTATATCAACATTTTACTGTAGTCTCTTACAGAAAAGTCCGTAGTAAATAATAGCTAACGAAATATTCTATAAAAGGTCTTCTCTTTACATAAACTGTCGTGGCATCTGTTTGATATTAAAAAAACACGTTAAATTTATTTCATAATACAAAATTCCATTAAACGTATATTTTAAATAAATCTAATTGTTCATTATGATTCTAATAATCAAAGTCCGGTCCCTGTCACAGAGTTCGGGTCCCTGCCCAGTTCCCCCACTAGGTTAACCTTTCTTTAGAAATTGGCAACATTTGCGCAGGTTAAACACCGGTGTATGTTATATCTCTGGTCTCTTTCATCTAAGGTTCCAACCAAGAATTTTGTATCGTTTCGAAACGGTACACGGGATCGTTCAACTAGCTTGTTATGCGCAAACGCTAACCTGGCACTGTCTTGTGGATGGGATCACACTCTACCGGGATGGAACGAATTTATGTACCACTTTCGCTATCGAATGATGCTGACAATTTCAGTTAGAAGTAGGAATTACCTAACTCTATGTTCATTTAGAGAAAGTTTTAATCGTCTTAATCAGACGATAAGTCTGAGTGAAAATCATCATTTTCTTCATCACTGATAATTAAATTAGGTACTATCCAAGAACAAACATAATTAAGCAGAAAATCTGAGAAACAATTTAATTTAAAAACGTTAACACCACCAAGTATTAAACGTCAAATCCAAACAAAAAAGACGGGCCTTGTTCATTTCAGTGTACGCACAGTGCGCATGTCAACCCTGGTGATACCAACTTTTAGTTTGGTATCCAAAGGACCGTACAGAAACCGATTCCCGAACGGTCCCATGTTTGGCTGGAACGCTAACCGAACGGTACAAAGAATCGTCAATTATCGGATGGAGCGGACTTTATTTACTGCGCATGACGATGACCGTACGATGTAAGGTTTTTTTGTTACAAAAAAAAATCCAATTTCACTTTTTCGCGCCATTCGGTTGTACATTTACTCTGTCATTAGTTAAAATACACCGTATTGGTTTCGGACAATATTTACATGAGAAATTTGACTACTGTTATAACCCGTATTGCAATTCCATATAGCACTATCAAAATAAAAAAAGCTTCTCCTGTAAAAGTCAATTCATGCACTTAAGGGGTATTAGAATTGGACCATCGATATAATTAATAATAATTAATAATAATTAATAATAACTAATAATAATTAATAATAATTAATAATTATTTAAAAGAGAATATGTTAATACTCACTCTATTATTGCTTAAATCTAAAATCTCCACAAACGTTCTTATGCGATTTAAAGCATTAGCACAATTTATGTTATTATTTTGTAAATTAAGTGCGTGAGGACACATATTTACAACTTCATTTATTATATAACGGAAATTATTCGGTGTGAATATGGGAATATATTCTTTTAAATCTGAAAAAGATCACATTTAAAATGAGAAAAAATATTATTATATACAATGTTATTACCAGTATCGGAACCAAAATTACTTAAATCTAACATTTTAGTGTCCTTATTGAATCGTTTTTCCATAACACTTTTGATGTTTTCACAGATGTTATTAGCACTATTACCACTAAGCTGGTTTAAATCTAACATGTTGGCAGCCCGCCTATTAAATTCTTTTTCCATGTTTTTGGTGTTAAAATTGTTTGCTTCCGTATTGAATTGTTCTTCCATGACATTTTGGTCGTTTTTAAAGTTGTTACTATCAATACCTCCACTAATACTGTTTGCTTCAATCATTCTAGGTTCCTCATCGCATCGTTTTTCCATAACGTTTTGAGTGGTTTTAGAATTGTTACTACTAACATCGCAACTAAAATTACTTATAAAAAGGTTAGCATCTTTACTGAATCGGTTTTGCTCAACGTTTTGGACATTGTTAGACTTGTCTATCTCAGATACTTCTTTTGGTGCTTCTATTACTTCAGGTAGACAATATCTGATTGTGATTGTAACGAAGAACTAAAATAGAAATTTTTTAATGTAACATTTTAAGAAATGTATTTTTATAAAGGAACTGTCAATAAAAACTATCCATCCTAAAAATATAAGGTATTGCTTTTATAAAAAATATAAAAATAAGTCAAAAATTATATAAAGGGGGATGGCTTTTTACTTTCCTATCTGTATACAGATAAGGAAAGTATTATAGGAATCATGATTTTTTTTTCGACCTTCAGTTTTCGAAGGATTTTTACGTTTTAGAGTCCCCTAAATCCGTTTTGGCTATTTTCGGGATGATGTCTGTGTGTGTCTCTGTCTCTGTGTAAGCGTGTGCGTGTGTGTGCGTGCGTGTACGTGCGTGTACGTGCGTGTGCGTGTGTATCCACCATAACTCATAAAAATTAACAAAAATTAATAAAAATTAATAAAAATTAATAAAAATTAACAAAAATTATTAATAAAAATTATAAATAAAAATTATTAAAAATTAATAAAACAAAATTGCCAGGTATCGCATTAAAAATTTTATCTCGAGTAACGAAAACTTATTCACATTTAATAATTCCAGCGAAGCGGAATCGGGCCAGCTTGTATAATATAAAGTAAACGGAAAGAAGAAGAAATGTCAAGAAGAAAGTGCTCATTAATCAGAATGGGTCTAACAAAAATGTGTTTCATATCAATGAGGATTTTTAAATTGTGTGTTACTGTTACTTTATTGAATTTATTTTTTATTTATTTATAACTATACTATATTGTAGGTACATATAAAAGTTTATGGTCTCAGATAAACAACAAACAAATGTATAAGAATTGAAAAAAAAGTTAGAAACATAAAAATGCATATGCATGTTTTCCTCACATATTCAATAATGGTTAGGTATAGTCGAATTTCGGTCACTGGCGAACAATAGTTAAAACTAAATGGGAATTAATAAAAATGAAATAAAATTCTGAAACTGGTTATCTGAAGGATTCTGTTTCTCAAATAAGTAAATAAAAGTTCCTTTTACAGGACTGCCAGTCTTTAACCAGTTGCCCAAACAGCCGGTCTATTGTTTTTTTTTTATTGTTTCTGCCACTACCGAATTAATATTCCTTCAGAACTTAAGGACCCTTCTGTGATAGTGCTGTCATAATCCCTTAATAATATATTGATAACAGTAGTTAAAGACCTGTCAGTTGTTGTTACTCTGGTACGCTGGTGACAAACGGTGGTTCTGCCATGGAAGGAGAGGATAAAAGTTATGTTCACAGCATCTTGCAGCGTGCTGCGGTCGTCATAAGTAAAGGTACGAGTAAAAGAAGAAGGGAAAATATTCGAGAAATGTCATTCCACGTCAAGAAAAATCTGGACAGTTCGAGAAGGTTAAAGCAAGCTATATAAGTTACTGTAAAAGTTGAGTTGAAATAAATTGAGATACCGAAAACATGCGTAACAATTATAATGAGTATCCATGAGCAAAATGAACGTCCTCCTATAATCTTTGAATTTTTTATTTTTTTCGCAAAAGCCTCACCTTTAAAATAATTTAGGGTGCATAGTTTTCATTGAAATTCCTTGTAAACTAATCTGTAATCTTTATTATTTTTTTTTTAGTAGGAGTAAAAACAACTTTGAAAATGTAAAATATATAATAATTATTAATAGTTTTTCTTAAAACTTGACTCTACTCTTGTTTTGAAAATATGATTGTTTAATAATTACACAGGGCAACAAAAAAGTATTTTTTTGTGCCTGGGATTTTAGAGCTGATTTTAACTATATATGGGACGCTAAATCTGTACATGCCATCCGTTTTTATCTATCAGCTCTACTTTTTTAGATACATCAACTTATCTACCAATGTGGTTTTTATTCAGTATATTCATTTGTGAGAGTTCTAAAATTATTATATATTCATTAATGTAGGTTCAATGGTTTTATAGTCAGTCTGTAATTGAGTAAATTCCAGGTAAATCTATAAATAGTGGAACCATTGCCTATCAGGTACCTGAACTGACCCTTTTAATCCCCTAACTTGGGTAAGTCTCGTCAGTTTGTGCCTTCTTATTAATAAGAGTAGATCGAATTCGGCGTGTTATTTTATGTTAAGAAAAGAGTGTTTTGTGTTATTGAACGGAATTAAAATGAGTTCAGGTTCCAGTTCAAGAAGAAGTTGTGTAAATCAACCTGATGTGTTTTGCTATATATGCGGAGAATACATGTTTCAACAAAACAGACAAACTATTACTGACTTTGTAAAGCGAGCGTATCTTGGATATTTTGGAGTTAACCTTGGTGATCAGGACAAAAAGTGGGCCCCGCATCTCGTATGTAAAACTTGTACAGAGCATTTACGACAGTGGACTACCGGGAAAATAAAATGACTAAAATTCGGCGTACCAATGGTTTGGAGAGAACCAAAAAACCACTTCAATGATGTTATTTCTGTTTATTAAATACTAAAGGAATCAATCGAAATAACCGCACTAAGTGGACTTATCCCAATGTAGACTCGGCAATACACCCTATCCCGCACTCAGATGAAATGCCCATTCCAACATTTCATCCGCTACCAGATATCTCTGATGACGAATATTTTCCCTCTGATCGCTGTTCTGATGCTAATGAAACTAACAGTGACTATGAGGAGACGTCATCAGTTCCTCAACGCTTCAATCAAAATGAATTAAATGATCTCACCAGGGATCTCAATTTATCGAAAAAGCTTCTGAAGTACTGGCTTCTAGGTTGAACGACAAAAATTTATTGGAACAAGGAACCAAAATTACCTTTTACCATATAAGAGAAAAGTATCTGCTACCATTCGTTTCTCAAGAAGACAATCTTGTATTTTTGTCCCGAAATTAATGGACTCATGAAAGAAATGGGACTTTCTGAATATATTCCAGATGATTGGCGCCTATTTATTGAGAGTTCAAAGCGAAGTTTAAAATGTGTCTTTCTACATAATGGGAATAAATATGGTTCAATACCACTACGTCACTCAACGAAACTGAAAGAAGAATATAATACCATAGCTTTGGTCTTGCAGAAAATAAGTATCACGAACATCAATGGATGATTTGTGTAGACTTAAAAATGGTAAACTTTCTTCTTGGGTAGCAAAGTGGTTACACGAAATATCCGTGTTTTTATGCCTCTGGGATAGTAGGGACAAACACACCACTGGGTTAGAAAAGATTGGCCTCAAAGAGAAAACATGGACGTTGGGGAAAAGAATGTCATTAACGACGCTTTGGTTGAAAGAGAAAACATCATACTTCCTCCGTTGCATATAGAGTTGGGCTTAATGAAGCAATTTTTAAAGGCTCTTAATAAGAATGGGTAATGTTTTGCATATATAGGGGTTAAAATGCATCAGTTGAGCACAGAAAAACTCAAAGCAGAGATATTTGACGGCCCAAAAATAAGACAATTAAGGATCCTGTCTTCATAAATTCAATGAATCAAGTTGAAAGAGAAGCTTGGACATCATTTGTTGCAGTTGTAGAAAATTTTCTAGGCAAACATAAAGCTCAAAACTATGTTGAAATGGTTAACAAGATGCTTAATACTTTCAAATCCTTAGGGTGCAATATGAGTATTAAAATACACTACACAAACACTTAGACCGTTTTCCAGAAAATTTAGGAGACATGAGTGAGGAACAAGGTGAAAGATTTCACCAAGATATTAAAGTTATAGAGGACCGCTACCAAGGAAGATGGGACATGCACATGATGGCAGATTACTGCTGGAGTTTAAAAAGGGACTGTTTAAAAAAACATTCAAGAATGTCGCGGAAAAGAAACTTTCGAAGTGTTGAGTGACTATTTGATTTCTTCAATGTTTTTTTTTTGTTTGTAAGTACGACATAATATTGTATTTTGTATAACTAAAATAAAAATTTCGTATCTAATTTTGTCTACTACACTTACAGATTTGAGTTAAAATAATGTAACTTATATTTCTCTAAAATTGTATATCTTAAAAAATTTGAGCTCCTAGGTAAAAATGAATACGTTATTTGAATTCAGGACATCAAATTTATATAGAATCAGCTCAAAAAACCTCGACACCAAAACAGCTGCTCCCCTGTTATTTATCAAAAACAATTTAAAATCAATGTAAAACACATTGCATTTTTAACAAAATTAAAAATCATTAAAACTTACTGGATGATCTGGATCTAAAGGATGAGGAATTTTACACTCTGCACTCAGGATTTTCAACAAGGCTTCCAGACAGTCTTTAGCTACAAACCAGTATGACATACTATTTCGACGAAAATTAACTGGTACGATAGGAGAAGGATAAACGAAGTCCACAACTGACTTTATAATGTAATCTTTGTCATAAGGTCCGTTATTTTTAATCTAAAAAGTAAAAATAAACATGTCTGGGGTAATCTGGACACATTTTCAACAGTCTGAAAGACAAGTTATATACTGAACCCGTATTTAATTTGTCATTTCAGGTGTAGACTTCACATAATATAATAATAATAATAATAATACCTTCCCTAATTCACCTCCTTACGAGTGAATTTCAACCCCTGAAGCCGACTGAGCGACTTGTGTAGGCGAAGGGACGAGCATTATTATTATTATTATTATTATTATTATTATTATTATTATTATTATTATTATTATTATTATTATTATTATTATTTGCCGTGGCGCTCCGGGGCGACTTAAAGATGATTGTTGGCGCCATTTGACTTACAGGTGAGGAAAACCCGGAAAACATCACCCACCATCATCAAAGCGGTAACGCATGGCGATTTTTATAATCTGGATGTCATATCAGCAGAAATTAAATTTCTGATAATGCGGCATCCATCAAATCCTATAGAGAATCATGCAAATAAATTCACATGATCTTCTATACAATTCAAAGCCCTGTGTCTATCTCAAAATTGGCTCGCAAATGAATGCGAGCGCCGTAGACACCTGCGGTACACCGTAGTCGAATAATTAATGACTAATATAAATATAAAAAGTTTTCAACATTATTTATAGATAGCACGCTTAAATTCGTTTAAAACGCGTTAGCAACTTGTTGCGTGATTGTAACCACATGATATTAATAGAGGACTTCTATACAAGGGAAGTGTAAGAAATCGGGTCACATAAAGAGGCTGTTTTTTTAGTTTGCTTTTTGGTTTTTCCTATCTACTTTCATGCCATTTGTATACCTTGTTGTACCCGTAACGTGAAAAAGACAGTTTAGGGTATTTTACATTAAAAGGTTGAAACATTTTGTCATTGTCAGCTGTCCATTATGTTGATAGCAGAACACAGGCGTAACCATAGATGGGCATAACGTAACTAGTATTGTATGTTGGTTGTATATTGAACTTGTATTCGTAGCAGCATCATTTTGCAATCGACATAAATAAATAAAACCAAATGAAGAAAAAAATGTTTCAAGAGAGCGGGAGAAACACAAATAGACTATTAACAACAAAAAATAAAATGCAATGCTACAGCTGATATTGACAAATGTTTTTAACCTTTAAATGTAAAATACCTTAAAATAAAGTCTTTTTTACGTTACGGGTACAACATGGTATCTAAACAGCATAAAAGTAGATAAGAAAAACAAAAAAATTAACAAAAAAAAAACAGCCTCTCTATGTGACCCAATTTATTATGTCATTAGTGTCAAAAAAAGTTGTTGGTTGCACTTCCCTTGTATAGAAGTCCTCTATTGTTATAAGTGTTGTACGTGTTATTTTAATTATTTAACTACATATAGCCTAAGAGTCCACTGCAAATGTCGGCCATCATCTAATAACGAAATGAAATATATCTCGAAAGCATGTAAAAATATTGTACTTTACCAAACGGCACCTGAAATGACTGACACATTTTTGTATTCAATCAACCCAACTATGTACGTTGGTCTTTAAAATAGTTGAGTAATCTGGTTTCTTTGAAAGTGAATAATTCGTGGTACTTTCAGGGTTAGACTAAAGGGAAAATCATTAGCTAGATCTCCGGTGAATTTTATTTTAGAACAAATAGTGAATGTTGCAGCGGCCAATTCATTGACTGGGATAATTCATTTAATTGAGCGTCATTTGCATCTAACGTATGTGGTATCTAATGTAAAAAATGCATTATTTGTACATTTTTCATTTGACTTAAATCCAAAGTCACAAAACATCAGAATAATGAAACAACTTTTGCGTCCGAAACTGCTCGAATAGAAACGAGTCAGAAGGACCTTTAAATTGGTATGGCCATCTATCTCTTTTTATTTTGATGTTCTTTTTCATCTTTCGCATCTATTGTGGGTATCTGTGACATTACACCCTTTCGATTTCATATTGTTTTAATTCGTTATCACATGAAGGAAATTTTGTGGAGAATTTTAGCCTCCAAAAAAGGCCGCCTTGGGCTCAGAAAAAGAGCTGTGCCACCTCTTTTTTGAGTTATATTAATCAATGGGTATCTGATGTCATAATTCTTATCTTGTTATAAAATGACGACATTTCATGCTAATTTATGTCGTACTTACAGAAAATATTTGTAAATAGTAAATAATAATAAATCATTATTGGTCCTTTTTGATCACTATACAATGATGTAGGATATGTCAAGATACATGAAGTGGATAAAACACAATTTAAAATCTACATTTAAATATACATACATATATACACACATACATACACACATATATAAACAGACACATACATATACTTATGTATTAGGATACCTAGTAATAATCCTTAATATTAATAATATTAACAAAAACATTTTGTTACTAAACATTTTTTTAATGTTTGTATAAAGCTGTTAATGTATTTTATGTTTTTAATATCAGCTGGCAGTTTATTAAATAATTGAATTCCTGCATACTCAGGACTATGTTCATAGAGAGCAGATACATGCCTAGTTATACGTAACATATTGCCATTACAAGTGGGATAGTTGTGACAGTCATTGTTCCTGAAAAATTTAGCTTCATTTTTTTTGTATATAGAATTGTCTTATAAATATATATTGAGGGTAGAGTGAGTATGTGATATTTAATAAAATGATCCCTGCATGTTTGTCTTGATTCCACATTGAAGATGAGTCTAATTGCTCTTTTTTGTGCAACAAATAATCTTGTAGCAGGAGAATTTCCCCAGAATGTAATATTGTATGATATATGTGAATATAAAATTGCATAATATACCTGTAGACATTGGTTAAATGTAAATATGTTTTAATTGAAGTAGAGCATAACAACTGCTATTAACCTTTTTACAGATGTAAATAATATTTGATTCCCAGCTCATATCACTATCTAGCAGTACCCCCAGAAATTTTGTTTTCTGTGACAAATAGACATCATTGAAATTTATCATTACACATATATTATAAATTCTATTCCTTGAAAAAAACTGAAAAGCAACTGTTTTATAAGAATTTAAGATTAAGGAATTTTTATTACACCAAGTTGAAAAATCTGAAGCAACTAAGTGAAGCTTCTTCTGCACCTCATCTGGAGAAGTTGCGTGAGATGCTAAAGTTGTATCATCGGCATAGAGTATGGTATAATCTGCAGACACATGCTGAGGAATATCATTTACACATAACAAAAATATTAGTGGTCCCAAAACTGACCCTTGTGGTACTCCTCGGGTTAGACTTTTCAATTCTGATTTACAGTTACCCACTTTTACACATATCTGACGTGAATCTAAATAAGAACTTAGCCATTTTAAAATTATGCCTTGTCAATAGCTTTGGACAAGTCAAAGAAGAGTGCACACACATACTGCCCCCTATCTAGCTGTCGGTATATATATAGTTGAAGAAAGCAGTAGTTGCACTCTCCGTTGACCTGTCTGGAAAAAACCATGTTGATGTTCAGTTATGATTAAATTTTTTAAGAAAAGATAACATATTTGTTGACCTACACATTTCTTAAAAACTTTACATATTATAGTGGGGATTGTAATAGGTCTGTAGTTATCCACTGACAAGAGACACCCTTTTTTAAAGATTGGTGCCAATTTTAAGAGCGTTTGGGAAGATTCTGAGTAACAAGGAATTATTGATTACATAAGCTAATGAATTCGCAATGTATTGGGCAATTGTCTTAATAATTTTAATGGAAATGCAATCTATTCCTTCTGCATTGATATTATTTAGAGATGCAATTGTTTTTATCACTTGTTTATAATTCACTTCTATAAACTGAAAGGTGTTTGGAATAAACATAGTGGTGTAATTAATAAAAGTAGTGTTGGGAAAATGATTTTTAATTGCATAACTAGCAATTGAAGAAAAGTAACCTACAAACATGTTGGCAATATCTAAGTTTTCTGTTAATCTTATACCATTTGCACCATGTATTTCACTAAAATTAGCAATTTTTTGTTTATTCAGTTTGGAATTAACATTTTTCCAAACAATTTTTTGTTTTTGTTGCATATTTTTGTTTGCTAAATTTTCTTTAAAAAATTGCTTTTTGCATTTATTATTTTTTTGAGCATACCTCTTTTTTTCTATTTTGTATCGTTTCAATATATGACTATCAGAAACATTTTTTGTGAGCCAATACATATTTTTTAAATTATTTCCAATTTTAACAATCTCATTATATACCCATTTTGTATTACGTCTGTTTTCAAAGTAATGGTAGGAAATTATGTTCAAAAATGTATTATAAATCTCATCAATATCTAATGGAGCTTCAAAAACAAGTTGGAAATCTTCCTGTGACATTTTCAAGGATAGACTACATAAATTTGAATATGAAGTATTTCTAAATGAAACAGTTTTCATGTTATTTTCTTTTTGAGAATGCGTAGAGTGATTTAGCGTTATAGTAAGCCCATAGTGATCACCTAAATAAAAGTCTTGTACTATTTTTTTGTAATCGTAACTACAATTTGTTAGAAAATAATCTATTTTTGATTTATAAATTTTCCAATTTTTGTCAAATGACACCTTGGTCAGTTCTACATTATGACATTGTAAATCTGTATCTGTAACGTGTGGAGGGTGGGTTACCTCACGGCACTTAGGCCTCATTAGGCCCATTGTGCATCCTCCTAAGATGATAGACACCTCCTAGCTCGTCAGCCAGCCTACAGATTTAATGTAGTTGACAACGTCGCCAAGAAATGCTTCTCTTATATCGGCCGGTGTTAGCCGATACTCGCCGAACACAAATCTTCTAATAAATGAGAGCGTCGGGCAATCGTAAACGATATGCTCGATGGTCTCATCTTCTTGTTCGCACCCTCTGCAGCGGATTCTGACAGCCACATGATATGGAGGTGCTTCCGTACTTGACAATGACCAGTCAGAATGCCTGTGACCAGACGCAGATTCTGTCTAGTCATAGTCAAGTATTTGTTTGCTGCAGT